TGACCTAAAACGAGAAAAGTTTATTCTGATTTCACATCTTTTATTGTATGTAAACGTCTCAACTGTACGTTTAAATTATGAGTTTGTTTTCCCCCCCACTATAATTAATAAGATAATAAGAATAAATCCAAAGCACCTAATTAAAGTTGAATTAAAGTAACATTTGCTGGGAAGCTTTTAGCTCCTCTGTGTCTCACAGCAGAAATYCCTTCTCTTTTCCTACCAGGATGTTTAACTCTTATCCAGGCACAAAGACATACTTTTCCCATCTAGACATCAGTCCYGGTTCCTCCCACTTGCACTCTCATGGGAAGAAGATTGTCTTGGCCATAGCAGAGGGCGCCAAGGACATCAGCCAGCTGACCGTCACCCTCGCTCCACTGCAAACGTTGCATGCCTACCAGCTCCGGATAGACCCGACAAACTTTAAGGTGCCTGCCATCAAGTCCTGTTTACAAGCCTTATTATTATGTCTTAATTAGGTCAAATGAACAGCTGTTTCACTATTGTTGCCATACACTACTGTAACTTTGATTTTGTTCAAAGCTGAAGTGCGTAGAGATGGAGATACAGTATGTTGAATTAATTCTGGAAAACTTGAAAAATGCAAAGACTCACAGATTACAGACATGATTAATTAAAAACATGTTTCTCCTGTTGTAATCTTTCTTTTATTTATTTATTTATTTATTTATTTATTTATTTATTTATTTATTTATTTATTTATTTTTGTCCTCCTGCAGCTTCTATCCCACTGTATGCTCGTCAGCCTGGCTTGTTATCTGGGCGAAGAGTTCACTCCGGTTGCTCATGCAGCGATGGACAAATACCTGTCAGCCTTTGCGGCGGTGCTCGCTGAGAAATACAGATGAGGTTCAGTCACAGTGTCTCCAGAGATAATGACAAGCAGAATAGGTGGAAAGTGCATCAAATGAATTCACCATATTTGCTTTGAGTTTCCAACCAATGTGTTCAGAGGCCACATAAACACTGTATTTATTCATGTATAATACTAGAAATTTAACCCTAAAAATCATACATAAAGTGGGGTTAGTATTATACACAGGTTACTGATAATTAGATTTTTAATGCTTTTTAAAAGGATCCCCAACTAGTTGTAATATTAGACTTTATATGATAAACATATACTTTAACTGTAAAATAAAGACTGTAAAAAACTGTAGGCTGTTTAGTTTTTATAATTTTTAAACTAAAAGTTTAAAAATATATGACATGGACAGGGCAATTTTATTTACATGCAAAGCATTCTGGG